TATATATTAAAGAGTTATTTCAAGAAAAATAATAACAAGACTCACTTAAAGGATTATCCAGAATTTCAAGGCTATTTCAAGTAAACGAATTATAAAGATTAATGCACAAAAGGCATGAGTTAATATCGATATAACGTAAGTTATGAATTACTAACATAATTTAGGAATAAATATCCCATGGAAAACCCTAGAATCCGTAACTCCATATAACCCTCGTTCCTTCCGCTTTGTGACAGTGCCGGAAGTTTTTCAGTGAATTAGTGAAGTATTAAAATTAAATCACGCGATCGGAAATAAAGATTAAAGTGAATTATTATAGTTGAGAAAGTGTCTCAAAAGGGGAAACGATCGCAACGGAAATCCTTATTGTGACTATAAGTTCCAGGGATTTTCTCTCGCGGACCTAAAGTGACATTCTCTCAATATTTTGCCGTATTATATTGGTAATTTATAATAAAATTGTAGCTTCAGTTTTGTGATCTGTCAGATAGTCGATTTGAGTCAACGGTGGTGCCGAAGCGAATTGTTGTAGAAACCCTGAATGCGACTTTAGTTCCAGGGGTTAATATTCGTGGAGGTGCTTCGAGACTCATTTACGATTTTCCGGATTAATTAAAAGATCTTTTAAAAGAGACAGTTCGGTAATATGTTTGAGATTCAAGATTGTTTCAAAGAAGTTGAATTAAATAAGAACAAGATCCTTCCTCTGTTCTGCCCAGCCATTAAAAATAAATAAAAGAATGGCTATCCTAGACCATCTCCTTGTGTACTTTTATTACTAACTTTAGTTGATAAATTCCCGAGGAAGGAGTAAAAATAACGACATGCGATTCTTCTTCAAACTCGGCAGCTGTAAGTACTTAAGCTATTAAATAAAATCTGTAAGGGTTTTTTTTATGATATTGAAACATTTTATATTTTTCGCTGAAACATTTATTAGTCGAAGTAAAAGTTGCCGTTTTATTCGCTATTGAAAACGTTTAATTTTCATAAAAATTGAAGAATTTACTCTCTTTTGTAGAATTTTGCCGAATTACCTTTAATTTCTTATAGAAGTTTTATATCATAGTGAGATATATTAAATATTTCATATTTTATTGAAACATTCTACCATAGAAATGGTCCTTGTACTTTATTGAACCATTTATTTTATTGTGTAATTATTTCCGGGATTTTATTGAGACATTCAATTTCTTGTACCCTTCTAATATATAGTGTATTGACACTGTTAAATTTTATATCTTTCTATTGAAGCGTTTCTCAAACTTTTCTATTGAAACTTCTATCAATTATCTATATTGAAGCATCTTTCATTTTATCGAATAGTTATTTTATTGTAAGAATTACACAGCCCCACAAAAAAAATAAGTGTCGGGGTTCGAGGATCAGAGTACCCTACCCCCAAGTATTTTGAGCCGCTGAACATGAATCTGATGTCCGTTTTGCTCCATCACGTCAGGATTTTTTTCTAACCTCAAAAAACTTGGCGAATCTTTGGAGGTATACGAAATTTTTTTTAAATTGATGGATTTACATAAAACTTGGTATCCAGGGTAATTTGGGGTCGCTGATTACGAATCTGAAGTTAGATTTTTAAAATTCAAAATGGCGGATCCAATATGGCGAACAAATTTTTCGAAAATTTGTGACTTTTTAGAAATTTTTTAAAAGTTTGATGGATTTGCATGAAACTTGTTACTTGGAAGTTTTTGGGGTCGCTGATTACGAATCTGAAGGTAGATTTTCAAAATTCAAAATGGCGGATCCAAGACGGCGGACATTTTTTTAAAATTGATGGTTTTTTATGAAACTTGGTACGTAGGGGTTTCTTGGGCCGCGGTAAATCCATCAATTTAAAAAAATTTCGTATACCTCCAAAGATTCGCCAAGTTTTTTGAGGTTAGAAAAAAATCCTGACGTGATGGAGCAAAACGGACATCAGATTCGTGTTCAGCGGCTCAAAATACACGGGGGTAGGGTACTTTGATCCTCGAACCCCGACACTTATTTTTTTTGTGGGGCTGTGTTATAGAAGACCTTATACTTTAATTGAATAGTTATATATTATTGAACATTTTATATCTTCATTGAAACATTTTATTTTGTAGAAATTGAAGAACCTACTTTCTTTTATATAAAATTCAGTGGAGATACTATTAATGCTTATAGAAGTTTTTGTCGGAGTGCGCGCTGTTGTAAGATTGGATCGGGAGCAGTAAGCCAGCGAAAGATAATAAACTCAAAACCTTTAATTCACTACGCC